AGAGAGAGGTCCACTCTTACTAACCATCAGAGAATCCACACTGGAGAGAAACTTTATGAATGTAATCTATGTGGAAAGGCTTTCACACATAGGAAGAGTCTTACTGTACATCAGAGAATTCACACTAGGTAGAAACCTTAGAAATGTAATCAGTGTGGAAAGGCTTTCAGAGACAGTTCCAATTTTATTAAACCTCAGAGAATCCATACTAGAGAGAAAACTTATGAATGTAATCAATGTGATAAAGCCTTCAGGCAAAAGTCCCTTCTCCCCCAGAGAATTCGTAGGAGATAGAAATCTTGTCACTGACATGAATGAGGAAAGGCTTTAATTAAAATGGAGTACAGAGCTTCTTAGTAGAAAATTCATTCTGGGTGTAAGCCATTTGGAGACTCAACGTGAGAAGGCCTTCAGCCAGAGATCAGCTCTGACTTCACATCAGATGATTCATGTTGAAAAGAAGACTTATGGGTATGCTCGATGGGGACTGGTCTTTCTCCAGAAGATGGAGGTCACTGGTGAAGAGTTAAATTTGGTGTCTAACAGAATGGTGAAATAAGGGAAAATAATTCATACTGACTCACCAGATGGCAAAACAGCAAAAGGTGGCAGTAGAATTGCTCATGAACTGCATGATTATGTGAAAGGAGCCATCAGGGTGTTCTTACAAACAAAGTATCTTCAGAATAAAGAAAAGGACTTTTGTCAACATTGTGTCATCTGGGGAATAACGTTTGGCGAAGGGAGGAAATCAGAGGTGTTTGATCAAGAGTATGAAAATTGAGGGAATTCAGGGGAATTTTGTGGTCTCCTGCAGGCCACCTACATGTGTGTATCAGTGTGCATTCAGGCTAGCACATGTGACAATCAGGAAACTTCTCATTAACTTGTAGTAATTTCTGCCTCCTGATTTTTGTGACCCAACATTCACGGTGAAGAAGAAAGGATTCCCCTGATGGACTTGAGGCAGAGCTGAACCATCATGGGAGAAAGCAGGTGCCCTGAGATTTCTATCTAAACAGCCTCCCATGGTTGCTCCTGCTCTACTAGCCTGGAAGGGGAATCTGAAGGAGCTGCATTCTACATAAGAGGCATCTGGGGGGCAGCGAGGTGGCACAGTGGATAGAGTACTGGTCCTGAGTCAGGAGGACCTGAGTTCAAATCCAGCCTCAGACACATGATACTTACTAGCTGTGTGACCCTGGTCAAGTCACTTATCCCCGATTGCCTCACCAAAAAGTGAATAAAATAAGATGCATCAGACTGCTTGTCACATGTGAGCTGGGGTAATGGACTGTCAAAGAGGTCTTCAATGACTCCTCCATGAGATGGTTTTGTGTCTTGGTAAATCCAAACTGACCTCTTTAAGTTCACCACCCTTGGATGCTTGTCCTGGGTGCCTTTGGGCCAGCTTTAGATGGTTTAAGCGTGTTGAGAAGGTGTGAGGAAGTTTGGGTTTTTCTTTGCTCCCTTAAGGAAGTAGGAAAGAAAAAGGGAGAAAATTATTTAGAGCAGGAATTATCACCACGTGCCTTTTTAAGGGAATACATAAATATGTGGCGAGTATCTCCTTTTAAAGGGCCAAGAATACTGGATTTAAAATAAAAATGTTTCTAAATGTTTATCACTAGCAATTATAAATTTGGATCTGATTTAAGTTTAGTGTTCTATAAGGAAAAATCTAATAGTAATGATTGTTATGAAAAAAATGATGACTGTAAAATGCTTAATACAATGCCATATGTTAGACGTGGTATTATTATCATTTAACATAATTGTTAAAAGTACCAAGAGTAATAAGATTGATAATTTCTATTTGTGGTAATCTGGAAATGCAGTTGATGTCATCTGAAGCTTATTGTTTGTGTTACAAAAGTTGTTACTATGTTTCTAAATTGTATTATATTTCTAAAACTCTTAGATTGTAACATCTGAGGGACCATCGTGAGGTAGAAATGGTGTTAAAGTAACTCTTGACCTGGAATGGGTCTTTTAGTGATTTAAATGAGATAATTTGAAACTGTTAAATACCTAGTGAGGTATATTTGGTTATAAGCAAGTAATAATGATATTGATATTTACTATGATAGCAGATTTTCATTTAAAATCTTGACTATTATAAAAATATATGGTGGTTTAAGGTTATAGTTTCAACATATTAATGATGAGATGAATGATTTTCTGCAAAGTGATTTGGAAGTGCATTCATCTAATGGGTTGTTTCACAGTTTATTACTATGGTGGAAATAATTTTATAATGTATGCCCTGTGGTACAAACATATTTTATTGTGAAAAACTTATTGATATGTATTGATTTGGAATTAATGAGGTATTCTTTCATATATCCGGGCCTCAATTATAAATTTAGAGAAAAAAAATTTTTTTTTCAACCCAGGCCTTGTTTAGGCTAAGGATTAGGTTTATTGGGGGATGGGCCATATGGGCCAGGCTCTTTAGGCAGAGACTAGTGGTCCTGGGGAAGTCTAGGCCGCCATCTTTATGTCATTGAGGTTGAATCTGGATGGGATCTGGAATCTGCATGTGGCCTGAGGCTATCAGACCAGTAAGGACAGACAATGATGGGCTAGCATAGATAACAGAAAAGTCAGTCTATTGGAGTGGGAGTGGCTCCAGGAGATTGTTGGACCTGGTGAAGAGGTCCAGACAGTTTTTTTTTTGGGTTAGCTTACATATTTCTGAATTTTCTTATATGATGTAATCTGGTAAGCAAATGTATTAGTTATGTTGTTGGAAGGGCAATTTATTTTATAATTTGGAATGTTATTAGATTAAAAATTGTGCCTTCAGAGAAAAGAAAAAAATTGGGTTGGGCTGTTGGGGCATTCTATATGATTCCATCCTGTAACATTTCCTTTTAAGTGATGGGGTATGGGCCCAAGCCGAGACCTTTGCCCTTTGCCCCAAAAAGAATCTGGTTCCCATTTGTCTATGGCCCCAGAGGGCCCTTAAACTTTTCTTCCTCTGGACTCAAATGGTTCCTTATCTATTCCCCTTATGTCCCTTTGAAAGCTGAGCCCCACCTTTGGATCTTATTCAGCTGCCTTTCAAACTTCTCCTTCCAGCTTCCTCTATTATCTATTCCCATTGTCTATTCAATCTCTCAGACCTTCCAATCAGAATTCCCCCTAAGCCATCCAGACCCTTTTCCCAGCCCCTCCTCTGGTCACCCAAAGTTACTTTAATGTATATAAGATCCACCCTGGCCCCCATTTAAACGCTGGGATTTTCTCATGCCTGTTTGTCTTTACAGGCGTCACGAACGTTCAGATTCCTTAAGAGTCTGGCCTGTATGGTTTATCTCTAATAAATTTTTTCTCTAGCTGAAAGAAGATTTGGGTTGAAATCATTCAGGCAGGGCCCACCTGTCATGATCTTGGGGTCTCAGCACCCCTAAACCTCTAGACCTCAACATAAGTACTGTAATTTAAGAAATGAGAACTTCCAAGTTTTGTCTATATTTAAAGGAAAGTTTTAGCTGGGATTATTTGGCTCCTACTTATGAAGTTTAGAATTGTTAACTAAGTTATTTGGAGTTATTATTTAAGTGAAGTACTGGTAAAAATATTTTTGGTGTGTGTGAAAAGAAACTTGGTAATTATGCAAAAAAGTTTTTGTAAAATCTCACAATTCTTATCAACCTTGTGCTGGAGTTTTGTGTTGTGGAACTCTTACTGAATAAGTGGCTCATTGCAGACACCTTTTTGACTAGAGAATTTAGGTAAACAGGAATTTTATGGCAATTAGGGAATTGTGAGCTGTTTTTAAGAAAGGGAAATACTTTTATGAAGAAAAGTTTTGATGAAATCTTTGATATTCTTTTAGAGGGCCTACTAAATTTCTATTTGTAAGAAAATTATGTCCAAACCTACTATGAACTTAGAGTTTCGTTCCTGGGTTTGTTGTGTCTTTGGATTGGATTTAACTGGGTGCATTTAGAGAAATTGTCTCAATGGAAGCAACATCAAAGATCTAAGGCACTAGCCTTATTAATTATTACTAATACTAATTATTATTACTTAATATATAATTAATATTAATTATTAATACTAAAGCAACTACATTTCTGTAATAAGCTGTAAGTAGGAAAAATGGTTTGATCTGAATTCATTCCATGGCCTAGCAAGAGTTAAAATTACTGTTTGAACTTATCATATGTATAAGATTCAAGTCCTGAAAGTGGCTCATTCTTTCAGATTAAGAATGGTTAGAGAGGGATAAATAAACCTGAGAAACAGAGAGGGAAATCTATTTAGAGTAGTGATTTTACTCAGGATGTTTTTAGGAATCAGAACATGTGTAGGAAGTTATGCAAACTACTTAGATCTCTACTTAGATCTCACTTAGGAGATGTTCCCTAATTAACGTGAAACTATAGTTCTGATGAGGGGAATTTGCTATCTAAGACCTTGGGGACTGTTAATGAGTCCAACTCCAGGTATGGTTAACAAGGAACTGACTCAGCTACTGAGCCATGACGTCAGCAACCCGCAAAGAGGTTTGTCAGCTGCATCTACGAGCTGCAAGGGGGTGTTCTCATGGGAGGTCGGGAGAATGACTTTTCTGCATGGCTGAGGTAGGATTCTCCTGACTCAATTTCCCCACTATGACACCTGGCAGACTTTAAACCTGCCCCATTGCAGTTGGTAACCATATAACTTCTGCCTGGAATTGAAACGAATCTAAGGAAGCATTGTTCCCTTACTTGAGTAATGTCCCCGTTCTTTCACGGCAAATTCCTACAATCATAAGTTTTCTAAGCATAAATATCAAATCTATTAAACAACAGATTGATGCAGGAACATGAGGTCATTATGATATGATGCAAGCATAAGACTGAGTTATTGGGCCTGGAATTTATGAGGATAATTAGGCCAGGAGATTGTGGAACCAGGATTAAAGTTGTCTCAGTCTGATACAATTAATGTTAAAAGAGGAATAGCTTGTGACTTATCTTGTAAATGCCTTGAAAGAAGCATCCATTTTAATTAAGGATTATGTATTTGGGCGTGACCAGAAGTTGGGACTGTTCCATTATTTGATGAGCTCTGGTTTTAAATTAACTACTATTAAATTAACGTATTGGAATCTGTCATTAATTACATAGCAGAATCTCATCCCACTGATGGCGGAATATCAATAGGGATCAATAATGAACTACTGCAAGGTACAAAATGAGAAGTAATGCAGAGAGTGAGGCGAGGTTCTCGTTTTTTAATTTGAGTTTCTTGAAACATGACAATTGACCAAAGTTCCAGTTTTGATCTTGTAATTATGAAGACATAGGGGTTGAGTTAATTTTCATTATTTGCCTTGGTTATTGGCAAGGTAACTTATAAATTGTGTTGAGATCAATCTTGTAGGAGAGTGGACACAAGAAGGAGGATCTCTGCAGGAGGAGAGTCTGCCGGACACTGTCTGAACAGCACTTGGACCACAGGACTTTGCCAGATGATGTCCAGAGTGTCAGACAGCTGCGTGAGAAGAAACTTCTGAAGCTTTAAATGGACAATTTATCGTTAACTTTTGGGTCTCTGTATCTGTATTTAATAAGGGGACTGCTCCCTTTTTACTTGGTCAGCGCATTGGTCAATTCCTCCCTTCCTTCTCCCATACCGTTTTAAGTCTCCAAAATCCCTTGATGAAAGGTTGCCCAGCAGCACAGCCCCAGAGAGAACCATCACCAAGGCATTGCAAGGTTTAACCACTTTAGCTGAGGAGTTGGCAGAGAACTCTGGAATAGATAACTGATTAAAGGGATGGTTCGAACCCTGGTTTGGTAAATGCAAAGGAATGGCTATATCCATTCAGGAGTATTAACTGCTGTAGGATGTTGTATAGCTCCGTGCACTAGGGAACAGGTACAACAAATGATAGAGACATCCTTCACTAAAGATTACCCCAGTAGGACACACAGTGGGAGTTCAGAGGGCAGGCTCCGGGAATATAAGGGTGATGATTAAAAGTACCAATGAGACTTTCCCCAGTGATGGAGAATGCGAAATCATGTTAAAGAGATTAGAGGATAAGGAAATTGGGAAGGTGTGGAAACCACATCTTTACTTTAAAAAAAAAAAAAAGGGAGGAATTGTGAGAAATAAGAGTTAAGTTTCCACATAAGTAGATAAGAAATCAGCATAGACAGGCTAACTTCTCCATCCAAAGGGGACAGGGAGGATAACAACACAATTCTAGTCACAAAATGTATGTTAAAGGGTGGGGATCACATGTATATAAAATATATGAACAGGGCATATAAGGAAGATTGTAACCCAGAAGGATTAGGACCAATCCGGATCCAGAAAGGATGAGTTAGGCAATTACTAGCTATAAAGCTTGCTCTGGTTTCTTTTACGTGGGCATTTCTCCCCCTTCCAAGGAGGTGTGCCCGCTTCTCGCAAGAATCAAAAAAGATGAACTTCAACCTCTTCAATAAAAAGTCTTTGAGACACCAGTCTTCAGAATTGAGTCTGGGGTTTTCTTTATAACATTGGTGAAGTAGGAGTACTAACTGTTGTTTGCAAATTTGATAGAATTCTCCTGTCTTCTGATGGTTTGAGTAGTTCACATTTTTGGAGGTATTCCTCTAATTCCTTTGTGTTCTCAGTTTCTTTAGTATAAAACTGTGCATAATATGTTCTGATTATGCCTTTTATTTCTTCTGGCTTTGCTGTGATTTTACTTTCCTTTCCTATTTCCTATTTTATTAATTTGATCCCAAAGAGATCATACAAATGGGAAAATGATCCACATGTACAAAAATACTTATTGCAGCTCTTTCGGTGGTGGCAAAGAACTGGAAATTGAGGAGATACCCATCAGTTGGAGAATGACTGGACAAGTTGTGGTACATGAATGTAATGGAATACTATTGTGCTATAAAAAGTGATGAGCTGGAGGACTTCAGAAAAACCTGGAAAGACTTATATGGTCTGATGCTGAATGAAATGAACAGAGCCAGGAGAACATTATACACAGTAACAGTCACATTGTGTGATGACTGGCTTTGATAGACTTAGCTCTTCTCAGCAGGGCAAGGATCTAAGATACCTCCAAAAGTCTCATGTTGGAAAATGCCGTTCACATCCAGAGAAAGAATCATGGAGTCTGAACGCAGATCCAAGCAGGCTATTTGCTCTCCTTTTCCTTTGTTGTTTTGTTTTATTTCTACTTTGTCGTGGTTCCTTTCATTAGTTCTAATTTTTCTATACGTCATGACTAATGTGAAGATATGTTTAATATGAATGTATAAGTAGAGCCTTTATCAGATTACATGCTATCTTGGGGAGTGGGGAGGAGTGGGAGAGGAATTTTAAAACTCAAAATCTTATGGAAGTGAATGTTGAAAACTAAAAATAAATATATTACTTTTTTTAAAAGTGGAGTTCTTTCGATCAGGATAAAATAAATTACCTTAAGAAATGTCTTGATGAAGCTGAGAAGATGAGATGCTTTTAATAAATGGCTACTCAAAACCACCAAAGAGAAGCCTCTTGTAATTTAACAACCAAACTGACCAATAATGCTTGCTGCTCAACCTCAATTTTTAAGTCAGATTAAAGCAAAATCTATTTTCTCTTTTGCCCACCTCCTCACCCCACACCAAAAGATAAGAGAAAAACAAAACCTTTGTAGCAAATACATCCAAACAAGCACCCCAAATTCCCACACTGGCCACATCCAAAAAGCCCTCTCTTTGGAAAGGGAGCATGCATCACCAGGAGTCTTCAGAACAGTGGCTGGGCCCTGCATCGATGAATTCTTACATCTTTCAGAAGTTTTGACAATATTGTTGTCACACTAAGCGTTCTGCTGGTTCTACTCATGTCATACACATTCCCAGGTTTCTGTAAAACTGCCCCTTCATTGTTTCTTGAGGCACCACCGTATCTCATTGATTTGTTCAGTCATTCCCTATGCTCAGCCCCAATATCACTGACCAGTGGCATTGCCCAGTTCCAACAACAATGACCTACAGCGCTAACTAGTCCCAGCATAAATTGGCCAATAAATGAGTATATATCAAAGTGGATTAAGTGCTTGCTCTGTGCCAAGACTGTGCTCAGCATCGGAGACATTCCCTGCTCTCCAAGCGCTTACTCTCTAATGGGGGAGAGCATCTTGGAAAGATTTCAGCTGCCAGGCAAATGGAAGTCCCATGGGCCAAAGGGAGCAAAGCAGATGGTCCTGCTTTGTCATGAAAATCTTCAAGAAAGAGAAACAGGCACAAATTCCAAGCATGATCAATTTATTAGCAAGACCAGCCAACTGCCAACAGAGTGAGATCCCAAGCCCCTCCGTGGCCAGGGATCCTTCTGACAATCGGAGCAGCTTTTTCTACGTTGGTTAGATAATGTCCAGCAACGCAAACCAAACTAAGATGGGACTCATCTATGAGGATGAGTCATCATCCTGGCTTGTAAGAGGGGCTCTCCAGAATCTACAGCAATGGGGGAAAGTCCTCCCCTCTCCGGCTTCTTCAGGCTGTAGCCCAGAGCAGCTACTAGGGCCTGTCAGTCTCAATACGATCCCTAAGGACAGATTCCAGGGATTAAATACAACTCTCAATCAATAATTGATAAATGACATGAAATGAAGCGGGGTATCAATGTTTGATTTCACAGCTTCTTCTTTCATGTCATTTCCATCGATAAAATGATATTCCTTTCTAATGCTGGATCATTTGGCAGGGCCAAGATCTTTGGGTGGCTATGGCTACTGCATGGGACAGGGGGCAGGAGCGTGTCAATGATAACTAAACTGGCTAGCCCCAATACCTCTGACCAATGGTGCTGACCAGTTCCAGCAACACCGACCCATGACAGTGAGCAGTCTCAAATCACTTAACGATGGAACTGACCATTCCAAGTCACAGTGACCAATGGCATTGCCTAGTACACATAAGCTGGGGCAGCTAGGTGGCCCAGTACATAGAGTCAAAGAAGACATGAATTCAAATGTGACCTGAGACATCGACTAGCTGTGCGACCTTGGGCAAATCACTTAACTGCTATTTGCCTTGGTTTCCTCAGCTGTAAAATAGGGATAACAGCATCTATTTCCAAAGGTTATTGTGAGAATCAAATAAGATAATATTTTTAAATTGCTTAGCACAGGGCCTGGCAGATAGTAGGTGCCGTGTAAATACTTAACCCCTTCTTCTTCCCCGAGTAGTCTTTTAATTTTAATTTAAAAAAACTTTTTTTTTGGGAGGCAATTGGGGTTAAGCGACTTACCCAGGGTCACAAAGCTAGTAAGTGTCAAGTGTCTCGTCCGAGGCCGGATTTGACTTCAGGGCGGGCGCTCCATCCACTGCGCCACCTAACTGCCCCCTTCCCTGACGGGTATTAACAACGATGAGCCATTGTTCAAATTTGTTTTTTCCCAGGACAAACCTACCGGTATTACTTACCAGTCCTGCCAGTGTTACCCAATGTCACTGACTAGTCCCAACGCCGCTGCTCAATCACGCGGACCAGTCTCAGCAACACTGGCCAATGGAAGAGACCAGATCCAACCGCGTTGGCCAAGCGCACGGGGCAGCCCGTTTTTTACGAGCTAAAAGCACAGCCGACATCACCAACTCCACTGAGCTCCGTATTTGCCTTTGCTTTTGGCCAGGAGACTTTAAAGGCCAAAGGCTCTCCCTCCGAGCGAGCGAGCGGTCATTCCACTGGAGGATTCCGCGCTCTGCTGCGCCCTGGCGGGGGGGAGCGGGCCCCGCCCTGGCGGGGGGGAGCGGGCCCCGCCCTGGCGGGGGGGAGCGGG